TTGTGTATTTGTGTGTTTTGTATTTGTGTTTGTGTATTTGTGTGTGTATTTGTGTGTGTATTTGTGTGTGTATGTTGTGTATTTGTGTTGTGTGTGTATTTTGTGTGTGTGTTGTGTATTTGTGTTGTATTTGTGTGTATTTGTGTTGTGTATTTGTGTGTATTTGTGTGTATTTGTGTATTTGTGTGTATTTGTGTGTATTTGTGTTGTGTATTTGTGTTGTATTTGTGTTGTGTATTTGTGTTGTATTTGTGTGTGTATTTGTGTGTATTTGTGTGTGTATTTGTGTGTATTTGTGTTGTGTATTTGTGTGTGTATTTGTGTATTTGTGTTGTGTATTTGTGTGTATTTGTGTTGTGTATTTGTGTGTATTTGTGTGTATTTGTGTTGTGTATTTGTGTGTATTTGTGTGTGTATTTGTGTATTTGTGTATTTGTGTTGTGTATTTGTGTGTATTTGTGTGTATTTGTGTTGTATTTGTGTGTATTTGTGTGTATTTGTGTGTGTTTGTGTGTGTATTTGTGTGTATTTGTGTTGTGTATTTGTGTGTATTTGTGTTGTGTATGTGTGTATTTGTGTGTATTTGTGTGTATTTGTGTTGTGTATTTGTGTGTGTGTGATTTGTGTGTGTATTTGTGTGTATTTGTTGTGTGTGTATTTGTGTGTATTTGTGTGTATTTGTGTTGTGTATTTGTGTGTATTTGTGTTGTGTATTTGTGTGTATTTGTGTTATCTGTGTATTTGTGTTGTGTATGTGTGTATTTGTGTGTATTTGTGTGTATTTGTGTGTATTTGTGTGTATTTGTGTGTATTTGTGTTGTGTATGTGTGTATTTGTGTGTATTTGTGTGTATTTGTGTGTATTTGTGTGTATTTGTGTGTATTTGTGTGTATTTGTGTGTGTATTTGTGTGTATTGTGTTTGTGTATTGTGTTTGTGTATTTGTGTGTATTTGTGTGTGTATTTGTGTGTATTTGTGTGTATTTGTGTATTTGTGTTGTGTATGTGTGTATTTGTGTGTATTTGTGTGTGTGTTTTGTGTGTGTATTTGTGTGTTTGTGTGTGTGTATTTGTGTTGTGTGTATTTGTGTGTGTGTGTATTTGTGTTTGTGTGTATTTGTGTGTTTGTGTGTGTATTTGTGTGTGTGTATGTTGTGTGTATTTGTGTGTATTTGTGTGTATTTGTGTGTATTTGTGTGTATTTGTGTGTGTATTTGTGTGTATTGTGTGTATTTGTGTGTATTTGTGTGTGTGTGTATTTGTGTGTGTATTTGTGTGTGTGTATTTGTGTGTGTGTATTTGTGTGTATTTGTGTGTGTATTTGTGTGTATTTGTGTGTATTTGTGTTGTGTATTTGTGTGTATTTGTGTGTATTTGTGTGTATTTGTGTGTATTTGTGTGTATTTGTGTTGTGTTTGTGTGTATTTGTGTTGTGTGTATTTGTGTTGTATTTGTGTGTATTTGTGTGTATTTGTGTGTATTTGTGTGTGTATTTGTGTGTATTTGTGTGTATTTGTGTGTATTTGTGTTGTATTTGTGTGTGTGTATTTGTGTGTATTTGTGTTGTGTATTTGTGTGTATTTGTGTGTGTGATTTGTGTGTATTTGTGTGTATTTGTGTGTATTTGTGTGTATTTGTGTGTATTTGTGTGTATTTGTGTATTTGTGTGTGTGTATTTGTGTGTATTTGTGTGTATTTGTGTGTATTTGTGACTCGGGATAAAAAACAGAGACACAAAAACGTCTTATGAAAAAACAGATAAAGATTTAATAACAGAAACGAGATCTGAGATAAAAAACACAGAGTCCAGTCCACAGACCTGATACAGTCCTGGTCTAGTCCTGGTCTAGTCCTGGTCTAGTCCTGGTCTAGTCCTGTCTAGTCCTGGTCTAGTCCTGGTCTGCTCCTGCTCTAGTCCTAGTCCTGTCCTGTCTAGTCCTGGTCCTGGTAGTCCTGGTCTAGTCCTGGTCTAGTCCTGGTCTAGTCCTGGTCTAGTAGTCCTGGTTCTAGTCCTGGTTCCTGGTTCAGTCCTGGTTTAGTCCTGGTTAGTCCTGGTTAGTCCTGGTTTAGTCCTGGTCCTGGTAGTCCTGGTCTCAGTCCTGGTCCCATCCTGGTTTAGTCGATGAGCCAAAGTTCCAAAGATGTTTGTTCCGATGAGGTAAGAGATGGAGGCCGGAAGGAACGCGACACCTGAGAACAGAAGAGAAGAGAAGAGAACAGAACAGAAGAGAACAGAACAGAACAGAACAGAACAGAAGAGAAGAGAACAGAACAGAACAGAACAGAGGTGTTAGGGTTTGTTTGGTTTGGTTTTTCTTCATGTTCTGTAACAGAAATGTTCTGAACGACGACACCACAAACTCCAAATGAAGCTCATCGAGGTCAGCAGTCACACTCGACAACCTGGATTTGAATTCCGACCGTGAGAATCAGAGCAACTAAAGAACCAATCAGGAGCCAGGCTGTTGAAGGACACGCCCCCTCACGCTCCGCTGGTCCAACAGGGGGCGGAGCTCAAAGGCGGCGTCGTGTCTCCAGTGACCTGCTCGTTTTCACACCGCAACATGTTCACTTCTGCCTCACTTCCCAAGTCCAGACCTCCATCCATGTTCTTCTTCTTCTCTGGGGTCTGAGCAGAGACTCCCACACTTCCTTCACCCCAGACGCTTCCAGATGAATCCCGACAACCGACTCTGATGAAAGCTGCACTTTGATTCAAGTTAAAAGTTTAATTTCACAGAAAAACTCCGTGTTCTGTGAGCCACTTCTGTGTGGGCGGAGCTGCAGTACCTGGAGCGTCCACTAGTCCATCTGTCACTCACAGACAGAGGGGGCGGAGCTTAGCAACGCTGTCAATCAAACCTGTTACTAAGGTTAGTGGGAGGGGCCTCAGGGAAAGAAGGCGTCTGATTGGTTAAAGTCCTGGTTTAATCCTGTTTCAGTCCTGTTTTAGTCCTGTTTTAGTCCTGGTTCAGTCCTGTTTTAGTCCAGTTTTAGTCCAGTTTTAGTCCAGTTTTAGTCTGTTTTAGTCAGTTTTAGTCCAGTTTTAGTCCAGTTTTAGTTCTGTTTTAGTCCAGTTTTAGTCCTGTTTTATTTCTGTTTTAGTCCTGTTTTAGTCCTGTTTTAGTCCTGGTTCAGTCCTGTTTTAGTCCTTGTTTTAGTCCTGTTTTAATCCTGGTTCAGTCCTGTTTTAGTCCTGTTTTAGTCCAGTTTTAGTTCTGTTTTAGTCCAGTTTTAGTCCAGTTTTAGACCTGTTTTAGTCCTGGTTCAGTCCTGTTTTAGTCCTTGTTTTAGTCCTGTTTTAATCCTGGTTCAGTCCTGTTTTAGTCCAGTTTTAGTCCAGTTTTAGTCCAGTTTTAGTTCTGTTTTAGTCCAGTTTTAGTCCAGTTTTAGTCCTGGTTCAGTCCTGGTTCAGTCCTGTTTTAGTCCAGTTTTAGTCCAGTTTTAGTTCTGTTTTAGTTCTGTTTTAGTCCTGGTTCAGTCCTGTTTCAGTCTCTTGTTCTTGTGTTTTATTTGTCTGTGTGTCTCTTACAAACACGGCTCTGTCATTAAATCTGATCTTATCCGTCTGTGTCGTGCACCTGACGCCCTGACGCTGAGGCTCCGAGGCTCTGAGGCTCTGAGGCTCTGAGGCGAGGCTCCGGTGGACCCGAGGCTCTGGGGCCACGCTGCAATTTCCTGTGGCGGCGCGGAGTCTTATCACCAGCCATTCTCCGTATCGCCGCTCGCAGGCAGATTACGCAAATATCCCTGCGCCAAGACGGATGGAGCTCATAATGCAGACGGGCCGAGTGTGTGCGGCGGCGGCGGCGGCGGCGGCGGCGGCGTGCTCAGAGCTTTTCTCACTCAGTCATTCTTAACATTCCTTCTCCGACGAACAATCTTAGTAACTACTTAATTACTTGAATTAGCACTTAACTTGCACTTACTTCACCTGCTGACAGACGCATTTGAAAGTTTGACGAGACGATTCTCCATTTATCATCAGAACCACTGCGGGTTCAAAACGTCTGGACGGTGTTTGTGTCCGTGGAGGAACCACAAACCCAGATGACAGAAAAGCCGGGAGCAGCTCCAGTGTGTAAATAAAGACGATTTAATGAGTTTTCCATCTAAACCTCAAGTCGGATTTTCCGTGTAAACTCCAAGGACAATATCTGAATTCAGATAATTAATTTAGAATTAAAAATCATCATGTAAACGAGGCCTGTGAGACGGAGACAAACTCGGACGTGTCTCTGTCTCGGAGCAGATCCACAGGGAGTTTGACTCTGGACTGATTTTAGGAACGTTTCTTCATTCCTGGTTCTTACCCAGTTGCCATTTGGCCGCGCACATCGTCTCCATCATCCAGATCGGCAAAGTCGGCTCCAACATCGCTATGCCCATGTTCCCAAAGCAGATCGCCCCTGGAACAGAAGGAAGAACATGGAGAAAACACGGAGAAAACACGGAGAAAACACGGAGAAAACACGGAGAAAACATGGAGAAAACACGGATAAAACACGGAGAAAACACAGAGAAAACACGGAGAAAACACGGGGAAAACAGGCAAAATAAGTGAAACAAACCAGGAATAAAACCAGGATAAACCAGAATAATCCAGGTTTATCCAAAGCTCCATGAGGAGAATAATGTTGTTTCCAGTGAAAATGATGGATGTGTTTGTTTCCTCCGAGTGATGAAGATGAAGATGATGAAGAGGAGGAAGAGGAGGAAGAGGAGGAGGAGCAGAGGTAAAGGCCAAAGCTCAGAGACAAACTGACACATCTGCACAACAACAACACACCTACAGCCCCAGGTCCTACAGGAACCAGACCCAGACCTGGTCTAGACCCAGACCCAGACCCAGACCCGGTCCAGGTCCAGACCCGGTCCTGGTCCAGGTGTGAGGTGTTTTACCTGCAGCGATGATGATGTACGGGTCCCTCATCAGTGTGAGCAGAGGAGTGCCCTTCTGACTCTGAAACACACAAACACACACATTTAAAACACACATTTAAAACACAATTTAAAACACACATTTAAAACACACACATTTAAAACACAATTTAAAACACACATTTAACACACACACACACAGGTCAGGGGTCAGAGGTCAGGGGTCAGGGGTCAGAGGTCAGGGGTCAGAGGTCAGTTTTATCGATCATGTTAAACTTCATAAAATCTCCAAAATGTTGAACCTGAACTTTTCTATGACACAATCTGATGATTATTTATGTTTTATTTGTCTTTTATTTGTTTGTTTAGTGATTTTTATGTTTTTTATTCTGTAAATCTCTTTAAATGATTTGATGTACAAATGTGCTGCATAAATAAACTCTTAGTCTTCGTGACTAAATCAGAAGTGGAACAGGTTTTTTCAAAAAACTGAACTGAACTCTGCAGAAGATGAAGTGTAAACTAGAGCCCGACCGATATGGATTTTGTTGTGGCCGATATAATCACCGATATATTTAGTGATGTAAAAATTCACTGTAAATCTTGAATTGATTAAAAAACTTAGGTTTGGCTCTGGTTGATTTTAAATTGGGTTTATTTAGGAAACATTTATTGTTGTTCTGACTCTTTACATCATATTTACAGACAGAAGTTTGGCCTAATGGCAATTTTTGCATCACATTCTAGACACTAGTGATGGGGATTCCAGTTTTGTTTTGTATTTTTGGAGAACCGGCTCTTTTGGCTCGGCTCACTAAAGCAGCTGGCTCTTTCCAAGCGACTCTTGAGATTGTTTTGTTGCAAGCAGGACTAAACCAGAACTGAACCAGGACTGAGTGTCGGGACTCGGTTTCTATCTCTCTCCTGCACTCGAGCCCAAGTTTAGTCCTGGTTTATTTATTTTATGCTGAACTGCAGCCAAATATGCACTTTTTTTATCCTGTGCAAACGCAGATTTCTGAAAGTTTCGTTTTCAGCCGCTGCTGCTGTTAAACTACGGGTCGACATGCGGCATGAAGAGAAAAAGTGAGAAAAAGAGAAAACACGGCTCCCAATAAGAAACATGCTCCTGTTGTTCGCTTCAAAGAGTCGGATCTAAGAGCCGCTTCGATCGCGACCGAAACATAACTCCTGCTAATAAATAAACTATCGCTATTAGCCTTTAGCCGTAAATGCTGCGCAAAGCGGTAGTTAATTATCTGCATAAATGTGGATCATTCACACGTCTATTCACAGCTCATTTACATCAATGCTGGTTCAGTAACAAATATACGGACAATGTAAACACTTTACAATAGACCAATAGAAAACAGCCTGTTTATGTGCAGGAGCTACAGCAGCTAACCGCTAACAACACCTAAACTAGCTTCAAAGTCGATGTATTTCAACACTCACCGCTCACACAGGCTCCTCCCACATCACACAGGCTCCTCCCACATCACACAGGCTCCTCCCACATCACACAGGCTCCTCCCACATCACACAGGCTCCTCCCACATCACACAGGCTCCTCCTCACATCACAAATCTGCACTAATAAATGTCCTTTTAATCCAGACTCAAACCGATTGTCCGAAAAAGAAAATAATCTCAGTGTTGCGCACGTCTGCAGGTGTAAACAAACACACGTGAGTGAAGTGACGTGACTCTGTGGTGTGTTCAGGGACAGTACGACACACACACACACACACACACACAGACAAATGACTCCGTAGATAAATACTGATGTGGAGCCACATATTAGGACATTTATTTGTTTGTAAATTGGATTAAATGAACAGAATGTAGAGAGTCTAAGATTTATAACGAGGTGTAACATGCCCACGTGAAATATCGGCCGATAGCCGCTATGTCTCCAGGTGCCCATATTAGCCGATAATATCGGCCAGCCGATATATCGGTCAGGCTCTAGTGTAAATGTAAATGTGTTTGTTTTGTCACTGCTCAGACTGAAGAAGAAGAAGAAGAAGAAAAGTTTCTTCTTCTTCTTCTTTAGTTCAGACTCGACTATGAAAAACTGAAACTGACGAACAAAAACACAACGTTAAAAAAAACATCTTTAAAATAAAATAATCACGCAGCTTTAGTCCAAATGATCAAATGTTTCTTTTGTGATTCCAAATGAGATGGTTTTTTTAAAGGTCAGATTCAGTTTAAATTTGTTTAAGTGTCTTGCCAAAAAGCACACAAAAAATGGGCATTAAACCAGGACTAAACCAGGACTAAACCAGAACTAAACCAGGACTAAACCAGGTCTAAACCAGGTCTAAACCAGGACTAAACCAGGTCTGATCCAGTAGTGTTTTAGTCCCAGTCCTGGTTGAGTTCTTCTGGTGGATCTTTGTTGTTCTTGATCCTTTTTTGTGAGAAAAGACCGAGCTGCTCTAGTCCGGTTATAGTCCAGGTCTGAACCTCACGGATAATGAGTCAACTGGACAATGGAGCGAAAGAAGATCTCATTATGAAACAGACCTCCTCCTCCTCCTCTTCCTCCTCTTCCTCTTCTTCCTCTTCCTCCTCCTCTTCCTCCTCTCTCCTCCTCTTCCTCCTCTTCCTCCTCTTCCTCCTCTTCCTCCTCTTCTTCCTCTTTTTTAAATGTCATGAACCTGATTCTTGGTTCATTCTCTGCTGACGCCTCTCGACCTCTGACCTTTCATTATGTCAGTCCTGGTTTAGTCCTGGTTTAGTCCTGGTTTAGTCCTGGTTTAGTCCTGGTTTAGACCTGGTTTAGACCTGGTTTAGTCCTGGTTTTTAATTTTCTGTTCCCTCTGACACAGAAATGAGGTGATTGGAAACACACGACAAAACGACAAAAGCAGCAGCCGCACCTCCAGAGAAAATACACACTTCCTCCAGACGCAGAGACAATGTGTGTGTGCAGATCTGGACCAGTCTTATCAAAAAACAACTTCCCCTTCCCCTAAACCAGGACCGAACCAGGTCTAAACCAGGTCTAAACCAGGTCTGAACCAGGTCTAAACCAGGTCTAAACCAGGTCTAAACCAGGTCTAAACCAGGTCTAAACCAGGTCTAAACCAGGTCTAAACCAGGTCTAAACCAGGTCTAAACCAGGTCTAACCAGGTCTAAACCAGGTCTAAACCAGGTCTAAACCAGGTCTAAACCAGGTCTAAACCAGGTCTAAACCAGGTCTAAACCAGGTCTAAACCAGGTCTAAACCAGGAAACCAGGTCTAAACCAGGTCTAAACCAGGACCGAACCAGGTCTAAACCAGGTCTAAACCAGGTCTAAACCAGGTCTAAACCAGGTCTAAACCAGGACCGAACCAGGTCTAAAACAAGACTAAACCAGAGACTAAATAATAAAACCAGGATTCAAATGCAACCAAAACAGGGTCTGAATCGAGACTAAACCAGGACTAAACCAGGTCTAGACGGGGCCTGGAGACTCGTATCAGTGATGTTGTGGTGATGAGTTTGTGCGTCGTTGTTGTGTAAATAATAAATGTGGAGTTTGTCGTTTGTTTTAATCGGGTTTAAAGTGACTCACCTCCGGCTCCACCTTGGTCGGCTGCAGGACGAACAGCTGCAGGGCTAAAGGGCACAAAGGCAGACGTCAGGAGTCGAACACAGAACCTCTGTGACCTCTGTCTAACCCCACACACTGATGCACTGACAGGAAGTGAGCGCGGGGACACTCCCGGCTCCATCGACTGTGGCTCCAGTTCAGTTTGGATTGAAAAGTCGTGTGTTTGTCTGAACTCCACATGATCCTGGACTTTTTATTTCAATATTTTCTCCCTACATCAAGATCACAGGGAAGGTCACGTGGAGCGTTTGGACCAATCAGAGAGCGGCTCCGGGCGGCTCGGGGCGGCTCGGGGCGGCTCGGGGCGGCTCGGGGCGGCTCGGGGCTCGGGGCGGCTCGGGGCGGCTCGGGGCGGCTCGGGGCGGCTCCGTCTGACAGAGACACTTTAGGAGCCACGAGGATTTAAATATTTAACAAAGTTTATGTTGTGAAAATCAAAAAGAATCCAACAAAACCCGACGCCCTGAAAAACACAAACAGGTTCAACTCTCTCTTTTTTCTCTTCTCTCTCATTTTCTCTTTCCCAGTTTAGTCCTGGTTCAGTCCTGGTTTAGTCCTGGTTTAGTCCTGGTTTAGACCTGGTTTAGACCTGATTTAGTTCTGGTTTAGTCCTGGTTTAGTTCTGGTTTAGTCCTGGTTTAGTCCTGGTTTAGTCCTGGTTTAGTCCTGGTTTAGTCCTGGTTTAGTCCTGGTTTCGTTCACATCCTCAGGTTGGAGTCATTTCACATTTTTCCACACAAACTGAACTGGAGTCAGAGTCGGTGGAGCCCAGACTCGCCCGTGAACACTTCCTGTTTGGAACAGTGACTCAAACCCACGAACTCCTCGTGACGGGGCGACTCCTACGAGTCCTACGAGTCCTACGAGTCCTACGAGTCCTACGAGTCCTACGAGTCCTACGAGTCCTACCTCCATCAAACAGAGCGATGAAAGCCAAGATCAGGAACGGAGCCGTTTTCCCAACGAACTCGTACAACACACTCCCGAACGGAGGACCAACTGAAGAGAGAGAAGAACAGAGAGAAGAACAGAGAAGAACAGAGAAGAACAGAGAAGAACAGAGAGAAGAACAGAGAAGAACAGAGAAGAACAGAGAAGAACAGAGAGAAGAACAGAGAGAAGAACAGAGAAGAACAGAGAAGAACAGAGAAGAACAGAGAAGAACAGAGAAGAACAGAGAACAGAGAAGAACAGAGAGAAGAACAGAGAGAAGAACAGAGAGAAGAACAGAGAGAAGAACAGAGAGAAGAACAGAGAGAAGAACAGAGAAGAACAGAGAAGAACAGAGAAGAACAGAGAGAAGAACAGAGAGAAGAACAGAGAAGAACAGAGAAGAACAGAGAAGAACAGAGAAAGAGAAGAGAGAAGAACAGAGAAGAACAGAGAGAAGAACAGAGAAGAACAGAGAAGAACAGAGAAGAAGAGACAGAGAAGAACAGAGAGAAGAACAGAGAAGAACAGAGAAGAACAGAGAAGAACAGAGAGAAGAACAGAGAAGAAGAACAGAGAGAAGAACAGAGAGAAGAGAGAACAGAGAAGAACAGAGAAGAACAGAGAAGAACAGAGAAGAACAGAGACAGAGAAGAAGAACAGAGAAAGAACAGAGAAAGAACAGAGAAGAACAGAGAGAAGAACAGAGAGAACAGAGAGAACAGAGAAAACAGAGAAGAACAGAGAAGAACAGAGAGAAGAACAGAGAAGAACAGAGAGAAGAACAGAGAGAAGAACAGAGAAGAACAGAGAAGAACAGAGAGAAGAACAGAGAAGAACAGAGAAGAACAGAGAAGAACAGAGAAGAACAGAGAAGAACAGAGAGAAGAACAGAGAAGAAGAGAGAAGAGAAGAACAGAGAAGAAGAACAGAGAGAAGAACAGAGACAGAGAAGAACAGAGAAAGAACAGAGAGAAGAACAGAGAAGAACAGAGAAGAACAGAGAGAAGAACAGAGAAGAACAGAGAAGAAGAACAGAGAAAGAACAGAGAAGAAGAAGACAGAGAAGAACAGAGAAGAACAGAGAGAACAGAGAAGAACAGAGAGAAGAACAGAGAAGAACAGAGAAGAACAGAGAGAACAGAACAGAGAGAAGAACAGAGAGAACAGAGAGAAGAAGAACAGAGAAGAACAGAGAGAACAGAGAAAGAAGAAGAACAGAGAAGAACAGAGAAGAACAGAGAGAACAGAGAGAAGAACAGAGAGAACAGAGAGAACAGAAGAAACAGAGAGAAGAACAGAGAAGAACAGAACAGAGAAGAACAGAGAGAAGAACAGAGAGAAGAACAGAGAAGAACAGAGAAGAACAGAGAGAAGAACAGAGAAGAACAGAGAAGAACAGAGACAGAGAAGAACAGAGAAGAACAGAGAAGAACAGAGAAGAACAGAGAAGAACAGAGAAGAACAGAGAAGAACAGAGAAGAACAGAGAGAAGAACAGAGAAGAACAACAGAGAAGAACAGAGAAGAACAGAGAAGAGAACAGAGAAGAGAAGACAGAGAGAGAACAGAGAGAAGAGAACAGAGAAGAAGAACAGAGAGAAGAACAGAGAAGAACAGAGAAGAACAGAGAAGAACAGAGAGAAGAACAGAGAAGAACAGAGAAGAACAGAGAAGAACAGAGAAGAACAGAGAAGAAGAGAGAAGACAGAGAGAAGAACAGAGAGAAGAACAGAGAGAAGAACAGAGGGAGGGAATGAGGAGAGATGTTTAGTCTATTGTAATTCCTGTAATTATGAAGCATTTTATGGTCCAGGAGCCAGGAAGTGCACTGTTAGTATGCTAGTTGTGTTCCACTTTCCTTTGACAATAAAACTCAGCTACATTTCTGACACTTGTGAAGTTCTGTAACACTTCAGGAAAATGAGAAATAACTTTGGACCTTTGCAAACGACTTTTTTTTTACATTTTAAAAGGACTTGTATCTGTTTTTTCACATAGACCAGAGGTGGGCAAACTACGGCCCGGGGGCCATATACGGCCCTTTAAACCTTTTAATCCGGCCTGCAGAAGTTGAACAAATTATAATAATAAACCTTGTTGATGTTTCATTTTTCCTGCATTTCCAGAGTTTCCCAGTAGATGGCGCCACACACACACACACACACACACACACACACACACACACACACACACACACACACACACACACACACACACACACACACACACACACACACACACACACACACACACACACACACACACACACACACACACACACACACACACACACACACACACACACACACACACACACACACACACACACACACACACACACACACACACACAGACACACACACACACACACACACACACACACAGACACACACACACAGACACACACACACACACACACACACACACACACACACACACACACACACACACACACACAGACACACACACACACACACACACACACACACACACACACACACACACACACACACACACACACACACACAGACACACACACACACACACACACAGACACACACACACACACACACACACACACACACACACACACACACACACACACAGACACACACACACACACACAGACACACACACACAGACACACACACACACACAGACACACACACACACACACACACACACACACACACAGACACACACACACACACACACACACACAGACACACACACACACACACACACACACACACAGACACACACACACACACAGACACACACACACACACACACACACACACAGACACACACACACACACACACACACACAGACACACACACACACACACACACACACACACACACACACACACACACACACACACACACACACACACACACACACACACACAGACACACACACACACACACACACACACACACACACACACACACACACACACACACACACACACACACACACACACACACACACACACAGACACACACACACACACACACACACACACACACAGACACACACACACACACACACACAGACACACACACACACACAGACACACACACAGACACACAGACACACACACACACACACACACACACACACAGACACACACACGACACACACACACACACACACACACACACACACACAGACACACACACACACAGACACATACACACACACACACACACACACAGACACACACACACACACACAGACACACACACACACAGACACACACACACAGACACACACTCAGATGGTGTAAAGTCGGGACACTGACCGAGGACGCCCATGGCCAGTCCTCCCAGCGCGATCCCGATGGCGTGACCTCGCTCCTCGTCGTCCGTGTACACACTCGCCAACATCCCCATCCCTGAAACACACACACACACACGGGGGATTAAAACCGCAAGCAGAGACGAAGGCATCATGTTTTTTAAAAATGACAAAATGACGAGCTGGTCCCTCATGATCATGCACCAACCCTGTGAAGTTTGAGTGATTTTCGATCTTTACTTTTTAAGTTACAGCTTATTTTAAGAGGGGAGGATGTGTCCGTTTACAGGCCCAAAATCACAGCATTTTTTCTCGTCCGTTTTCACAGGTCAATATCTCTGTAAGTATCACACACACAGGGCTGAAATTTTGTAGACTTGTTCTCCTCTACTCTGTGTTCAAATAACATTCGTTTTTTTATCACTTCCCACAGGCCATAAATGACATATGAAAATCGGACCATGTTGCATTTTCTTGTTTTTAATAGGAGCCTCACACATCACACATTTCAAATTTTACACATTTGATGGTTTCTTTTAACAGTTCAGAACAAATGTTGATTCTCAAAAAAAATGTATGTCTCTGACACCGACAAGTAGGTTTAAAAAGGGTTAAAAATGGTACGCCACGGGAATGAAAATGAAAACGAGTTTTAAAAAAAATTCATATAAAATGACAATAAGTTGAGATACAAACTTTGGATAGTTGTTCTTTGAACACAGAGTAGAGGAGAACAAGTCTATAAAATGTCATCCCCGTGTGTGTGATATTTACAGAGAAATCGACCTGTGAAAACAAACGAGAAAAACTGATGTGATTTTGGGCCCGAAAACTGACACATCCTCCCCTCACTAAATGAACTGAACTAAAAAGTAATGATCAAAAATCAGTAAAACTTCACGGGGCTGGTCCATGAGCGTGAGGGACTATTTGGTATTTTTTTTTCAAAATGTTTTGGATTGAAGTACGTCGGCCGTTTGGTGAAATGACGTGGAATGAACCTTGAGCATTTTGGCCTCCACAATAGACAGACAGGAGCAGACAGGAGCAGACAGGAGCAGACAGGTGCAGACAGGAGCAGGTGCAGACAGGTGCAGACAGGAGCAGACAGGAGCAGACAGGTGCAGACAGGTGCAGACAGGAGCAGACAGGAGCAGACAGGAGCAGACAGGTGCAGACAGGTGTTGGTTTTACCTGCGACTGAGGAGCAGGAGGAGCCGACTCCCTGGAGCGAGCGAGCGACGAAGAGCAGAGCGTAACTGGAGGAAAACGCAAACACTGAAAAACAAAAACAGGTTCATCGTTTTAACTCCGGAATTTAACAAACTCGACTCAAATAAAGGTCAAAACGAACTGAAACAAGAAAACTAATAATACTAATAAAACTAATAAAACTAATAAAACTAATGAAATAAAACCCAACTGGTGGAACGTTCCTGTGAGTTTTAGAGTCGTTCCTCGTGTTTTGTTTCATTCTCATGTTTGAGTGTTTCTTTATTCTGAGTCTGTTACATCTACAAAACTCCAGACGCTCTGATCCACCTTGTGATGTCATCAAGTGTCTTCAGTTTGTGTGTTAAATGTGCAGGTTTGTGAGTTAAACGTGTGAATGAAACAAAAACACGAGGAAACGACGTTCAAACAGAAAACAGAGTGACGTGTTTAGAAGTGAAAGTGAAAGTGACACTGACTGATGGTGGAGAGGAACATGATGCAGAACCCGGCGAAGATGGGGATCTGGTACCCGATCCTGAAACACACAGAGAGAGAACCCAGAGTCAGAGGCACCGACCAATATTAAACCACAATATTCTCAAAAAAAAAAAAAGGGACGTGGCCAAAACTCTAAACTCCAATTATTATTTGTTTAATTAAATGAAACCCTGTTCTGTTTTTATTTGTGGCTCTTCTGTATGTGGCTCTTGTGTGTGTGGCTCCTCTGTGTGTGGCTCTTCTGAGTGTTTCTCTTGTGTTTGTGGCTCTTCTGTTTGTGACTCTTGTGTGTGTGGCTCTTGTGTGTGTGCTCTTGTGTGTGTGGCTCTTGTGTGTGTGGCTCTTGTGTGCGTGGCTCTTGTGTGTGTGTGGCTCTTGTGTGTGTGTGCTCTTGTGTGTGTGGCTCTTGTGTGTGTGTGGCTCTTGTGTGTGTGTGGCTCTTGTGTTTGTGGCTCTTGTGTGTGTGTGTGCTCTTGTGTGTGTGTGTGTGTGCTCTTGTGTGTGGCTCTTGTGGCTCTTGTGTGCGTGGCTCTTGTGTGTGTGTGTGTGTGTGGCTCTTGTGTGTGTGGCTCTTGTGTGCGTGTGGCTCTTGTGTGTGTGGCTCTTGTGTGTGTGTGGCTCTTGTGTGTGTGTGGCTCTTGTGTGTGTGGCTCTTGTGTGTGTGTGTGTGTGGCTCTTGTGTGTGTGTGGCTCTTGTGTGTGTGGCTCTTGTGTGTGTGTGTGTGTGTGCTCTTGTGTGTGTGTGGTCTTGTGTGTGGATGTGTGGCTCTTGTTGTGCTCTTGTGGCTCTTGTGTGCATGGCTCTTGTGTTTGTGGCTCTTGTGTGTGTGTGTGCTCTTGTGTGTGTGTGTGTCTTGTGTGCGTGCTCTTGTGTGCGTGGCTCTTGTGTGTGTGTGTGTGTGTGGCTCTTGTGTGCTCTTGTGTGCTCTTGTGTGCTCTTGTGTGTGTGGCTCTTGTGTGTGTGGCTCTTGTGTGCGTGGCTCTTGTGTGTGTGTGGCTCTTGTGTGCGTGGCTCTTGTGTGTGTGTGGCTCTTGTGTGTGTGGCTCTTGTGTGTGTGTGGCTCTTGTGTGTGTGGCTCTTGTGTGTGTGGCTCTTGTGTGTGTGACTCTTGTGTGTGTGGCTCTTGTGTGCGTGGCTCTTGTGTGTGTGTGCTCTTGTGTGTGTGTGCTTTGTGTGTGGCTCTTGTGTGTGTGGCTCTTGTGTGTGTGTGGCTCTTGTGTGCGTGGCTCTTGTGTGTGTGTGGCTCTTGTGTGTGTGGCTCTTGTATGTGTGGCTCTTGTGTGCGTGGCTCTTGTGTGCGTGGCTCTTGTGTGTGTGTGGCTCTTGTGTTTGTGGCTCTTGTGTTGTGTGGCTCTTGTGTGTGTCTCTTGTGTGCTCTTGTGTGTGTGTGTGCTCTTGTGTGTGGCTCTTGTGGCTTTGTGTGTGTGTGTGTGTGGCTCTTGTGTGTTGTGGCTCTTGTGTGTGTGTGTGCTCTTGTGTGTGTGTGGCTCTTGTGTTGTGTGTGTGTGTTGTGTTGTGGCTCTTGTGTGTGTGTGGCTCTTGTGTGTGTGGCTCTTCTGTTTGTGACTCTTGTGTGTGTGGCTCTTGTGTGTGCGTGGCTCTTGTGTGTGTGTGGCTCTTGTGTGTGTGGCTCTTGTGTGTGTGTGGCTCTTGTGTGTGTGGCTCTTGTGTGCGTGGCTCTTGTGTTTGTGGCTCTTGTGTGTGTGGCTCTTGTGTGCGTGGCTCTTGTGTGTGTGTGCTCTTGTGTGCGTGTGTGTGCTCTTGTGTGCTCTTGTGTGCTCTTGTGTGTGGCTCTTGTGCTCTTGTGTGTCTCTTGTGTGTGCTCTTGTGTGTGTGTGTGCTCTTGTGTGTGTGTGGTGTGCTCTTGTGTGCGTGGCTCTTGTGTGTGTGTGTGTGTGCTCTTTGTGTGTGTGTGTGTGCTCTTGTGTGTGTGTGGTGCTCTTGTGTGTGTGTGGCTCTTGTGTGTGTGTGTGGCTCTTGTGTGTGTGTGTGTGCTCTTGTGTGTGTGTGCTCTTGTGTGTGTGTGTGTGCTCTTGTGTGTGTTGTGTGCTCTTGTGTGTGCTCTTGTGGCTCTTGTGTGTGCGTGGCTCTTGTGTGTGTGTCTTGTGTGTGCTCTTGTGTGTGCGTGTCTTGTGTGTGTGTGCTCTCTTGTGTGCGTGGCTCTTGTGTGTGTGTGGCTCTTGTGTGTGTGGCGTGGCTCTTGTGTGTGTCTTGTGTGTGCTGTGCTCTTGTGTGTGGCTCTTGTGCGTGGCTTTGTGTGTGCTCTTGTGGTGCGTGGCTCTTGTGTGTGCGTGGCTCTCTTGTGTGCGTGGCTCTCTGTGTGTGCGTGGCTCTTGTGTGTGTGCGTGGCTTGTGTGTGCGTGGCTCTTGTGTGTGCGTGGCTCTTGTGTGTGGCGTGGCGTGTGTGTGTGCTCTCTGTGTGTGTGGCTCTTGTGCTCTCTGTGTGTGTGGCTCTGTGTGTGTGTCGTGCTCTTGTGTGCGTGGCTCTTGTGTGTGCTCTTGTGGCTCTTGTGTGTGCGTGTGCTCTTGTGTGTGTGGCTCTTGTGTGTGTGTGGCTCTTGTGTGTGGCTCTTGTGTGTGTGTGCTCTGTGTGCTCTTGTGTGTGCGGCTCTTGTGTGCTCTTGTGTGTGCGTGTCTTGTGTGTGCTCTTGTGTGTGCGTGGCTCTTGTGTGCGTGGCTCTTGTGTGCGTGGCTCTTGTGTGCGTGGCTCTTCTGTGTGTCCGTGGGGAGTTGAACCGTCGACTCTGGTCTGAGTTTAACTGCATCAGTTTGAGTTTAATTTGATCAACACAAATGTTCAGACACAGAAACAAGAAAACATGTTTACTGTCTCTGACACACACAGAGACCCCGACACACACACACACACGACACACACACCCACGACACACACACACACACACACACACCCACACACACACACACACACACCCCGACACACACACTATACACACACACACCCCGACACACACACCACACACACACACACACACCGACACACACACACACCCCGACACACACACCCCGACACACACACACTATACACACTACTCTCTTCCCTCTCTCTCTCTCTTTGGGAGAGTTGGATGGATGTTGTCAGACACTCTCTCTCTCTCTCTCTCTCTCTCTCTCTCATCTATTCTTCTCCTCCGCATCCCTCTCTCTCTTTTTGTTGGACGTCCTTTCATTCCTCTCCCTCTCTCCTCCTCTTTTCTTCGGATGGATGTTGTCGTATGTCCTCCCCCTCTCTCTTTCTCTCTCTCTCCTCTCCACTCTCTCTCCTCTCTCTCCCTCTCCTTCCTCCCCCTCTCTCTTTCTCTCTCCTTTCCACTCTCTGTCCTCCCTCTCTCCCTTTCTCTCTCTCTCTCTCCACTCTCTCTCTTCTCTCTCCCTCTCCTTCCTCCCCCTCTCTCTTTCTCTCTCTCTCCTCTCCACTCTCTCTCCTCTTTCTCTCTCTCCTCCCTCTCTTTTTGTTGGATGTTTTCAGATGTCTCTCTCTCCTCTCTTGTCTCCTCCTCTCTTTCTCTCTCCTCCTCTCTCAGCTATTCTCTCTCTCCTCATCCCTCTCTCTTTGTTGGATGGATGTTGTCATACGTCTCTCTCTCTCTCCCCCTCTCCTCTCCTCATCCTCTGCTTTTCATTGGATGGCTGTTGTCAGTCGTCCTCTTTCCTCTTCTCTCTCTCGCCCCCCTCTTTCCCTCTCCTTCCTCTCATCCCTCTCTCCCACTCTCTCTCTTTCTCCCTCTGACTCATCCCTCTCTCTTTGGAGTGTTGGATGGATGTTGTCAGATATTCTTTCTCTCCTCTCCTTCTCTCTCCTCCTGCTTCCTCTTTTTGTTGGATGGTTGGTGACGTCTCCTCTCCTTCTCTCTCTCTCCTCTCCTCTCTCCTCATCCCTCTCTTTTTGTTGTCTGTCGTTCTCTCCTCCTCTCCTTCTCTCTCTCTCCTCTCCTCTCTCCTCATCCCTCTCTTTTTGTTGTCTGTCGTTCTCTCCTCCTCTCCTCTCTCTCTCTCTCCTGTCGTCTTTCGTTGGATGGATGTGTTCTGTCGTTCCGCAGAGACGTAAACGAGCGTCTGTCGGTGAAACGACTTTAATGTGGTTTAAACCGAACAGCGCACTTCCTGCTCCTGACGTGTGCCCCGAACCACACCAGACACCAGACACACGCCCTGCTGTGTGTCAGGTCCCCCCTGTGTGTGTCAGGTCCCCTCCCCGTGTGTGTCAAGTCCCTCCTGTGTGTGTCAGGTCCCTCCTGTGTGTGTCAGGTCCCTCCTGTGTGTGTCAGGTCCCCCCTGTGTGTGTCAGGTCCCTCCCGTGTGTGTCAGTCCCTCCCGTGTGTGTCAGGTCCCCCCTGTGTGTGTTCAGGTCCCCTCCGTGTGTGTCAGTCCCTCTGTGTGTGTCAGGTCCCTCCCGTGTGTGTCAGGTCCCCCCCTGTGTGTGTCAGGTCCCTCCCGTGTGTGTCAGGTCCCTCCCGTGTGTGTCAGTCCGTGTGTCAGTCCCTCCCGTGTGTGTCAGGTCCCCTGTGTGTGTCAGGTCCCCCCTGTGTGTGTCAGGTCCCCTCCCCGTGTGTGTCAAGTCCCTCCTGTGTGTGTCAGGTCCCTCCTCGTGTGTGTCAGGTCCCTCCTCGTGTGTGTCAGGTCCCTCCTGTGTGTGTCAGGTCCCTCCTCGTGTGTGTCAAGTCCCTCCCGTGTGTGTCAGGTCCCTCCTCGTGTGTGTCAGGTCCTCCTCGTTGTGTGTCAGGTCCTCCCCGTGTGTGTCAGGTCCCTCCTGTGTGTCAGGTCTCTCCCGGTGTGTGTCAAGTCCCTCCTGTGTGTGTCAGGTCTCCTGTGTGTGTCCTCCCGTGTGTGTCAGGTCCCTCCTGTGTGTGTCAGTCCTCCGTGTGTGTGTCAGGTCCCTCCCGTGTGTGTCAGGTCCCCTCCCCGTGTGTGTCAGTGTCCCTCCTCGTGTGTGTGTGTGTCAGGTCCCTGTGTGTCCCGTGTGTCCCTCCTGTGTGTGTCAGGTCCCTCCCGTGTGTGTCAGGTCCTCCCCTCCCCGT